GAACCCCCGTTCCGTGTGAGGGCACCCCTATGTGGGAGCCAAGATGTGGACGGTGGGTAGGCAGCAGCCCTAGGAGAGAAAATGTCTCTAAAGGGAACAAAGTTGGGATGTATTTTGTAAAGAGGAAGAAATCGGGCCACCATCAGGTTCCCGCTTGAGGAATATTTCCAAGTTGAAAGGAAAATTTTCACTCACCAGATCAATTGTTATTCCTGGTGGAACTATAAATCTAAAACTATTTGAGGCCAAATATCAAATACACCAAGAATACACTGAGGCCTGCAAGGCACACGTTACTTGCTAATATAATAGTGAAGACTGCAGTGTGTTTGTTTTTAATCAAGATATTTTCCATAAAAAACCCAGTTTGGGTTTTTCAGTAAATCAGAAGGCCTGACACCATGGGGCCCACTTTCCCACTAGAGCTGAGACGGGGCTGAGCCCCATGATTTGCCACAGTCCCCACCACTCCCGAATGCATACCCAGCCCATTTTATTGATGTTTAATACTTTGTCTGTGCTTTGCACTCCTTTCGGTTATATACACCTCTTTGCTCTAGTTCAGAGAATTGTAATGCACACATTTATCCTCCAGCAGCCACACAGCTCAGCACATTTAAATGGCACCCCAACTTGCAGGAGGGGAGGGCAAAGCTTATGAGCCCTCATTCTGATTGCTCTCTTTCCATTTCAGTTACACTCTTCCTCCACTGTCACCCTTTATCATTACAACTTCCTGTAAAGGTTTTAGGCATTATTTGAGTTACAAGTTATCCCTAAAGCACCTAAAGTTTTGGTAAAGAAAGTTTTTATCTAAATCTATATGTAAAATCATTAAAACAGGCTAATGGAAAGCACATTGGATTAGGAAGCAGAAAAGCTGGGATCTTACTCAAACCTCTTCCCCTGATAAACTCAGTGGCATTAAGTAATCCACTTAAACCCTCTTTACCTCTTAATACTTCATAAATAAGAGATAATAATCCTTGTTCCTTCTACCTCGCTGGGATTTTGCAACAATAACCATAAATCAGGAGACATCTGAGTCTACAGAAGAAATGTATCCTATAAAGACCAAGATGGCTTTACCATGATGCAGCAGTAGGTAGCAAGTAAATATTAAAGTGTTATTGAGAGTGGACTTGATGAAAAAGGAAGCTATATAATCATACCTTTGGAGAATATGCATCAAAAATCCCAGTTCTAAGTACTGGGATTTGGGATGGTTTTCCCCCCTTTGGCTTATGACGACTTTTGACTGTCTTTATAATGAACCTGTGTAGCTGTGTAATAAAAAATATAACAAATAATAAAAAAGAGGTTGGGAGAAAGAAACTAAAACTTCTCACACTTTTAATTTTAATGGACTTGAATAATCACTGATTTCTACTAAAACCATTTTTAAATTTCTTTTGTTTATAGTTCATATATGTGTTATGTTAGAAACCTAAACATTAAAAACTCCTGGGAAGCATTCTCAAACACAGCGCCAGCCAGCAAGCAGAGTGGACTTAGCCAAAGTGACATTTCATTCACCGTTCTGTGCTTTCCCCATCCTCGCATTCGTCTGATCAGAAGCGACTAGGCAGACTGATCCAAGCTCCGCCAGAAACTTAATCTCTGATTCCCCCTTTTATTACAGACAAGGAGCATGTGCACATCTGTGTCTGTCTTCCCCATCAACAGCGTGGGGGTTCTCATTCTTAACATCCTCTAATAATTTTGCCCTTTGGAGAGAAACTGTCACTACACTCCTGGATTAAAGAGCAGCGTAGATCAGTGGTTCTTAACTGAGGGTGATATGGTGTGCCCCGCCCCCCCAGCAGGAGACATCTGGCCATATCTGGACACATCTTTGATTGTCACACTGGAAGAGGGACGCTAGTAGCCTCTAGTGGGTAGAGACCAGGGATGTTCCTAAATATCCTGTGGTGCACAGGACAGACCCTAGCGCACAAAATTCGTGCTGGGGTTGAGAAGTCTTGCTTAAGCGAAAAAGGCTGTAAGTTCACATGTAAGTGTCATGTGAGTCTTTCTGGAGTTACAAGGATGAAGGTTATCAACTTTGTGCCTAGTGATTAAGATGGGAGAGGCACATCTAGCCAACTTAAAATACCTGACGATTTGGTATTTCACAAACTACTTGCTAGTCCTTTTCATATTAACAATTGCTCACTATCGAATGAGATTATTTCTTCTTAAAATCTCATGTATTTGAACTCCGTGGACGGTGACACCACAGAAGAAAAATCTGGGAAAGAGTCATGAAGAGCTTGATTTGTCACTGTTTACATTTCTCTCTGCTTAGGAAGATGAGAGAGAGAGAATGAGCTAAATGCTTTGCTGGAATAAAATAAAACCCACACCCACAACATCAGATAATGCTGTGACAAGACATCACTCCCTTGAAATTCAGAAAGAAACACTCTCACCAAGAAATGTGGAAGCTCAGGGTTGCCTTAATAAAAAGGAATAAAAAAAAAAAACTTATTCCAAAAAACAGTGTCCTTAACAAAGGAACATCAACTCTACACAAGAATTTTTAAAACACTCAGGTTGAAGTAGAACAAAAGCAAGAAGATATATTTAGACACAAATGCTGTAACTGTTTTCCTTTGAAAATTACTCTCCAGAAATTTCTCTAATTAGGCAAATAAAGGGGTTTTAAACGCATTCTCAGATTTGTTTATTACTGTAGATTATTGTCTCTTTTTTGTTTGCAAACAGTACGAGAGACCAAACAGCGTGTCATCAGTCAAGGATTTTATTCGGGATAAAAATTAGCAAGTTATTTTGGGGGGGGTGAAAATTTTTACTCACTTTTTAAAAACCCTATCACCACCTACAGATAAGTTATGAAATAAGAACTAGGAAAAGGAAGAGTGACGACTACGACTCATGGAGATTTTGCCTTTATTGTCTTTGAGCTGAATCCTTGATATTCATTATTAATGTGTTATGTTTATAATAGTCATTATAATCAAAATTTATTTGCCTGATTATTCCCTTTTTGACCCATGGGTCACGGAGCATCTTATTTACAATTCTGGTTCAAGAGGAAATTGAAGACGGGGAAGAACACGAAATAGCCTTGTTGCTCCGTTGATTAACAAGCTGAGTTGGGCCTCCAAACCCTTGACCTCACTCTTTGGATTTGGTGCAACAGAGAGAGGGGGCAGCACATTCAAGGGAGGGCCGGGCAGAATGTTGGCAAGTATGTGGCACTGGCTCTCATGTAGCTTAGATACCAGATATGGAGAAAGAAAATAGAGATGAGGATTAATGAAAGCCTAGTAAAACCTATTTCAAACCACTGCCGGGTAGGGCCGAGAGATCTAGGACGAATCCAGAAAGGGACACGAGTGACAGCTGAAGTCAGCATCTCTCCCGACAGGTCCCATTGCTTTACTTTGATTGGCACCCAGCTCAAGAGGGCATTGCACTGGTTCAGGGCATTCAGCCCGCAGGGCTGCTTCTCCCAGCCTCCAAAGCCATCTTAGCTGCTCCCTTTGTCCCCTCTGGCCCAGTCAAAGATGTCAAAACAGACACAGGCAAATATGCAAGGAGAGGGAGGGGGAGGAAGAGGGCATGACTAGGAAGCACTCATGAAAACATTCATGGGAGAAAAACAAGCGCACACTTCTAGATGGATTCTATTTTACTTCTAAATAAACAACTGGAAATATGAATATATAATAGTAGCTCATTTTTACTGTTTACTATGTGCCAAGTTCTTTCCAAGCACTTAGCATATATTAACACGCTTCATCTCCACATGAGCTCTCTGTAGTTTGTACACCCTCATCGCCTTTATAGATTGGGAAACTGAGGCATAGATCCCTCATGACAGGCTAGTAAATGACAGAGCTGGAAAAGGAATCGAGATAGTCTGATTTATGAGCCCATGCACGCCCTTCATTGTCTTTTGGAGGCCCCCACTTACCCAATACCTATCCTGGATGGCTATTGCTACAATCTGTATCGTACAGAGAAACTGAGAAGCTGAAAGGCTGTCTGACCATCCTACAAATCATGACACAGTGAGAATCCAAGTGTCTCATGCCCCTATCATGTTTTTCTGCAGGACCAATCATATTTAACCAAACAATCTGATGAAAACACCCCTAGCGAACCCTCCTACACTGTTGGTGGGAACGCAAGCTGGTGCAACCACTCTGGAAAACAGTATGGAGGTTCCTCAAAAAGTTGAAAATAGAGCTACTCTATGGCCCAGCAATTGCACTACTCGGTATTTAACCCAAAGATACAAATATAGGGATCCGAAGGGGCACATGCACCCCAATGTTTATAGCAGCAATGTCCACAATAGCCAAACTATGGAAAGAGCCAAGGTGTCCATCAACAGATGAATGGATAAAGAAGATGTTGTGGGGATGGGAGGAATATTATGCAGCCATCAAAAAATAAAATCTTGCCATTTGCAACGACATGGATGGAACTAGAGGGTATTATGCTGAGCGAAATAAGTCAATCAGAGAAAGACAAGTATCATATGATCTCACTGATATGAGGAATTCTTAATCTCAGGAAACAAACTGAGGGTTGCTGGAGTGGTGGGAGGTGGGAGGGATGGGGTGGCTGGGTGATGGACATCGGGGAGGGTATGTGCTATGGTTAGCGCTGTGAATTGTGCAAGACTGTTGAATCACAGACCTGTACCTCTGAAACAAATAATACATTATATGTTAAAAAAAAAAAAAGAAGAAGAAGAAGAAGAAGATAGCAGGAAGGGAAAAATGAAGGGGGGGGAATCGGTGAGGGAGACAAACCATGAGAGACTACGGACTCTGAGAAACAAACTGAGGGTTTTAGAGGGGAGGGGGGTGGGGGGATGGGTTACCCGGTGATGAGTATTAAGGAGGGCACGTATTGAATGGAGCACTCAGTGTTATACAATGATTCATGGAACGCTACATCAAAAGCTAATGATGTAATAAATGGTGACTAACAAAATAAAATTTAGAAAAAAGAAAAACACCCCTAGCAACAAGTCCAGTTCAACAAATACATTAATATTATAAATAAATAAAAAACAAAACACAAATGAAGCTAATATACCCTTTGTACCAGCTAGACTGTTCTCTATTTTACATACAGGAATGCCTGAAATTGCAACTACAAGCCCCTCAAGGGTAGGAATATGTATTTTGTTTATAAATATCCTAGCATGCTGTCATGAAGTGTGCTTGGTTATTACCAGGATAATGAGTCAATCAATCTATCAATCAATCAATCCACACTTATTTGTTGAATGCCTACTCTGAGGTGCATCAGGAGATGAAAGGTCGTAAGAGAAATAGATTAATCCTAACTTCCCTTTTATGGCAAATGGGATAAAGTAAATACTTTTAAAATCAGGAGTAGAAGCATACTCCCCTTCTTCCTTATCAAAAAATTCAATTCTGCTTGGGGTGGCATAGTACCTGGTTAAAATCCCGCCCCTCTCCCAGATTCCCTTATGGAGGGAGGTGACCATGGAAATCTGAGCTGGCTAATTGCTAATGAAAGCAAAAACTAACAGGGTGGAGCTTCTCTGCCCTTCACTTTGCACTTCCTCCTTCTTTACTTGCCTGGAGGGTAGATACAATGCCTGGTGGAGGAGCTAAAGCGAGGAGCCGCAGGAAGGAGCGCAGGTCCTCTGTGACTTCCTCAGGCACCAGCACCCGCCCTGGACTGCCCGCCCAGATTCTGTGTCAAGTGAGGAAACCACCGGTGTTGCTTGTCTAAGCCAGAGAAACCAGGTCTCTCTTCCATGCAGGCGAACAAAACCCTAACTAATGGTGACGCCTTACTGGGTCTGTCCTTTCTCTCTCCCCTTACAGGTTTTGAGGATGACACGTCTTCAGATTCTGCCTATATGGTCCCAGGTAGACAGATGAGCAAAAGGGGAAGAAAGGCCGAAAGGGATACAATGAAGCATTACTAATTGCACATTATGTAACTTTTACAGGTTTGATTATTTTTGGAAAGTATTTGGAAGGAGAAACAGTAGATTTGTTACATTTATTTTTCCTGCAATGTCCCCCCATCTGTTTATTTTTTACACCTCATTTTGATGAAATCACTGTTCGTGTTATTTTCCTCTTAAAGTCTTTATTTTTTTTTAGAGAGAGAGACTGTGAGCATGGGGGGAGGGGCAAAGGGAGAGGAAGAGAGAGAATCTCAAGCAGACTCCCCGCTGAGCATGGAGCCCAACACAGGGCTCAATCTTACCACCCTGAAATCATGACCTGAGCCAAAATCAAGTCGGACGCTTAACCAGCTGAGCCATCCAGGCAACCTCCTCTTAAAGTCTTTTTCTTTTTTTGCCTTTTCTTTATTTTTTAAAGATTTTATTTATTTATTTGACAGAGAGAGCACAAACGGGGTGAATGGCAAAGGGAGAGGGAGAAGCAGACTCCCCAGTGAGCAGGGAGCCTGATTCCGGGCTCGATCCCAGGAAGCTGGGGTCATGACCTGAGCCAAAGGCAGACGCTTAACTGACTGAGCCCCCCAGGCGCCCCTTAAAGTCTTTTTAATATGAGGGTTTTGAATGATCTCCTACTTGATTTTTCCAATATGAGGGTTTTGAATGATCTCCTACTTGATTTTTCCAATTGATTTTAATTTCCATTTCTTGCTCCAAAACAAAACCCTAGCACGACGTAGGATTTTCTAGACCATAATGGGTTTGAAAAATTATGTAGTTTATTCTTCGAGTTGAAATCTTTATCACTCCTGAATCATAGTTATTCCACTAAAAAGTCTTCATATAACTTCTAAGGAGGTTAAAATGACTGCTCAAAAGTATTGCTAAAGGAATCAACATGCTCTTTCAGACGTTCAAATACTGCCCTGGTCATCCCTGAGCCTTAGACTCAAATCACAAAGGAAAAATATTTAAGTTAAGCTCAGTAATTTTTAAAAACATTATATATATTTAAAAACATTATATATATATTTTAAAAACATTATATATATGTTATATACATAACATATATATATGTTAAAATATATATTATATATATTTTATATATTTTAACAGAAGTTAAAAAAATTAGAAAGTTAAGGATGGTTTTAAAAAAAAAATAAACTTTACAGGGGCACCTGGGTGGCTCAGTCGTTGGGCATCCAACTCTTGATTTCACCTCAGGTCAGGGGACCGAGCCGCCTCGGGTTCCTCGCTCAGCTCAGAGTCTGCTTGAGATTCTCTCTCTCTCCCTCTCCCTCTGCCCCTTCCCCTGCTCTCTCTCTCTCTCTCTCAAATAAAGAAAATCTTTAATAAATAAGTAAAAATTTAAAAAACTTTACAAAGTTAATATGTCAATACATCATTAGATAAAATCTAGAGTCACAGTTATATATCGCAAGTAAAAAACACCCTCACTGTGTTTAATTGCCTCATTGTTGAGAGAAAAATTGGCTTGGGATTAGGAATTTATCAGAATGACTGCTTTATTTACCTCAGACATCAGTCCTCGTCGCCTTTTAGTTAGTGTGTGACCCTAACTTTGAACTTGGTCATGGGAAAAAAATAGTCCAAAATAAACTTAACTGAATGAAGAACCAAAGTCAGAAAAACTTGCCTGGCCTTTATTCAAGTTATATAAACTCATAAATAACTAGGAGATGAAGTTTGGGGCTGATGAATTGCTCGGTGGCATGGGAAATTTATTTTCTACGACAGTCTCTGGTTTGCAGATGTCTACGTTTCATGCATCTCCTAAGTACAAATGACCGCACCAGCCAGGTGTCTCCAAAACTCCCCTTTCCTCTACCCTGTGTTCTTAGGGATTTCTTTCTCCTTCTGTCTCTCCTCTCCCTTCTCCTCCCCAACTACAACCCTGTGCTATTTTAGGACAAATCTGTGGGGGCAGTCAAGGAGAAAACAAGGAAAATGTGAGGGGAGACAAAAGAATAAACCTTCATCACTCATTTCTTCTGTCCCTTAGAACTTCTCACATGGCCTGCCGTGGGGAGGGGAGAGAAGCCTCCTACCACGCATACAAGGTCCTTCGTGGTCTGGCTCCTGAATTATCTAATGGAATGGAATGGAATTGCCTAAATGGACTAATTCCTAGAGGAACCCTACCCAGCTCAGCTAGAGCATCAGCCCAGTGTGGGCTAGGCGACCCCTTGACCTCCTAGGCTGTGCATTCTTTCCGTGTGCTCTTCCCCCATTTAACATCTTTCTACAGTGAGCAGCTTGAGAACAGAAAACATCTTTCATCTGTATTTCCAGGACCTAGCAGCCTTGCTCAGTGACTGGCTCAAAAAACCAAGTGGTGCTTAAAAAATATTTGTTGTAGCATGAATGCATGGCCCCAAGATTTTTCCAACTTCCTCATCCGAGAGCCTTGCTCTGGCCTTCACCCCACTCTCCCCCTGCCAAAGTAACTCTTACAAGGAACTCTTACGTGGGGAAGAGGAAAGGTGAGGTGAATTGAGCTGCTTTCTTGAAATGGAAATGAAGCTACTTAGGTCCTTTTGCTAGACTGAGATCCAGAATAATCAACTCTGTGAACCTTGGTCTCACCCAAAAAAAAAAAAGGTGTTTGTGAAATCTTAAAAAAAAAAAAAAACCCATAGAGTCACAGAGTGTGGGGTGGCAGAAATGGCCAAAGAGGGTCTAAAAGTACAAACTTCCAGTTGTAAGATACATTAAGTCCTGAAGGTGTAATGTATAGCATGGGTACTACTGTATTGTATATTCGAAAGTTTCTCAGAGAATAGATCTTAAAAGTCCTCATCACAAGAAAAGAATATTGTAACTGTGTGAGGTAATGGAAGTCACCAAACATTCTGTGGTGAACACTTCCCAATATGATATATGTATATCAAATCATCATGATGACCACCTAAAACTTATACAGTGTTATGTGTCAATTATATCTCAATAAAACCAGGGGAGAAATGGAGCAGCTTCCAAATGAAAAATAAATAAATAAGTGTGACAGGTAGGTGGGAACACAGAGAAATGGGTACTCATTAGTAAGAATAATAAGATCAATAGTCTATGCCGCTATAACCTCCAGCCATACAAACATGTAATAAGGACTGAAAGGTAAGTCCAAACATGAGAGCAGTTTGGTTGGAATGATAAGTAGTATCTTTTTTAATATATGTTATTACTATTGATAAAAGCTTGTAATATAGTTTAAAATGTACTTTTAATGAATTGGATATATACTTCAATGCATATTAAGGCCAACACATATGGGACTCACTTAGAGAATTTTTGTTTTTTTTTTAAGTAGGCTCCACACCCAACTTAGGGCTCAAACTCACATCCTTGAGATCAAGAGTCATGCACTTCACCGACTGAGCCAGCCAGGTACTCCTCTTAGTTTCTCCCTTTTCCCCCAAATCCCTAAGCAGAGTGCTTGCTTCATACATTGGGAAGCGTAGAGGAGGGGAACAAGGAGAATTGACTTTTGTTGAGTTGGGTAGGAAGACTGGGGGTTAGGGGCTGGTATTTTGGCCTCAACCTCCATCTCTCCATCCGCCCCACCCTACTGACAACAGATGTTAGCTCCATCTTATGTGAAATGGTACATAAATACAACTTTAAACCCTCTTTCCAACCAAATCAACACCCCTAAGCCCGCCTATAAGAAAATTCTGGAATCACCAGCAGCAGAGTGTCTACTCTATAGCAGGCCTCAGGAGACTCTTTCCTCTGTGGAACAGAGGAGGGAATCTCAGGCCAGAGGCAACCAGGCTGGCAGTAAAAGAGGAAATAAAAAACATCTTGGCAAAAAATCAGTGAGAGATGACTCTAAAGATGACGAGGATAAAGAGCTGTCCCAACTCAGAGGTTTGGGCTGGCAGATTTGCCCTCCCCTGGCCTCCAAATCCCAGACCATCCACCCACAGAAATACATACCCCAGACTGTCCTGCAAAATAGGGACCTACCCCACCAACCTTTAAGGGCTCAGAAATGTGAGAAATCCCTACCCTAAAACTGGGCTGGAAGGGAGGTAGAGAGAGGGTCAGGCCAAGGCTGCCAGGGGAGGCTATGTTCCTAGCTGTCTAAGCCAGAGCAAACTTTCCAAGGGAACTGCTTCTCAGCCCTGCTCATCTCCTTCCTTTGGCCAGGTAAGTTGTGAAGCTAACAGGTTTCTGTGGCTGGGGAAACCAGCCTCATCTAGGCATTTAGGCAACTTGCTTAACCGTTTCTATGGGAAAATCCATGGTAAGTGCCAAAGAATGAACTACAAATGAGCCTTTGGAACTCAGCTGCCCCTAACTGGACCCTGTCCACACAGTCAACATGAGTGAAGGAATTGTGGGTCATTGCCCACAGGCTTTTTCCAGAGAGTTTTAATTTTTATTGTCATGGCCTCGTTTTCTTGCCATATTCTCTTTCCCAGCAAATAATTGCTTAAACAGAACTTTATTTTTTAATTCTGATTTTAAATATAGATAAATTAAAACATTACAGATATAGTTAAATCCTCCCAAATCTCCTCCCCGATTTCATTGCCTGTCCTTCATTCTTCAGGGGTGATCATTGCCCTGAATTTGGTGCTTCTCATTCCATGCATGATTGTATGTATCCATTAGTAACATATAGGTTTTTGGGGTTTTTTTTAAAGATTTTATTTATCTGAGAGAGAGAAAGAGAGAGAGAGAGGACAAGTGGGGGAGGGGCAGGGGGAGAGAGAAAAGCAGACTCCCCGCTGAGCTGGGAACTCTGATGCGAGGCTCAGTCCCAGGACCCTGAGATCATGACCTAAGCCGAAGGCAGACACTTAACCGAGCCGCCCAGGCGCTCCAGTAACACACAGTTTTGTTTGCATATTTTCAAACTGTACATAAATGGTACTCTGGACTTGTATCTCTTTTACTCAGTTTTTGCTCAGTATTGTTTTTGAGATTTATTCATATTAACATGGCCCTAATGAACTTATTTTTCACAGTAGCATTCTATCATGTGAATATATCACATTACTATTATTATAGTAGAGTTGACCGTTGAACAACACGGGAGTGCCCAGGCCCCACACAGTTGAAAATCTGCATACACATCTGACTCCTCAAAAACTTAACTGTTAATAGCCTACCACTTACCAGAAGACTTACCTAACATAAACAGTAGATTAGCACATATTTTGTGTATGTACTATATGCTATGTTCTTACAACAAAGTAAGCTAGAGGAAAAAAATGTGGCTAAGAAAAATCATAAGGAAGAGAAATATAGTTACAGTAATGCACTGTGTTTATGGAAAAAAATCTGCATGTACATGGACCTGCACCATCCAAACCATGTTTTTCAAGGGTCAACTGTATTCTATTCCCGTTATTATTCACTGTAGTATTTAATTGCATTATTCTATTATATGAAGATATCATAATTTTCTCCTCAGTTCTCCGCAGAAGTGGAATAGCTGGGTGGTAGAGTATGAATAGACTCTAATGTGGTAATGTCGAATAAAGTGGTTGAACCAGTGTAGACCCCTTCTAGCTGTGGTTGAGAGCTCCAGATGTTTCACATCCTCAGACACACTTGATGTTGTCAGACTCTTTAGTTTTTGCCCCTGCGATGGAAATGATATGTAATCTCATTTTTGGCATGATCTTTATTCACAAATTGAAAAAGCGTTTTTTGTTTTGTTTTGTTTTGTTTTTCAAAATGCTCTTTTAGGTCAGTGGATCTCAAAAGTGTGATCTTGGAACCTTGGAAGTTCCCTGGGACTCCTTCAGGCAGCCACTGAGGTTACAACTATTTCCTAAGAACACCAAGACGTTATCTGCCTTGTTCACTCTTGTTGTCTGAGAAGTGTATTGTGGAACTCTCCAGAAGTTCCACCACATGTGAAGGTGCAGCAGACTGTCTGACCACCCAGCTGTCCTCTATTGAGAAAGGCGTTAAGGAGATTGGCAAAAGTCTAAAGCAATGCCACTCTTCCAAGGACTTCTGTCTTGGAAAAAACTGATTATTTCTCATTTTTAAAAAAATATGGTAACATATAATGGGTTTCTTATTGTTCTTACAGGAATTAATAAATATTTTAACTATTTCGGTTTTAATTTCCAACGTATTAAGTATTACTCGATATACGTATAAACCAAAGCTCTTTGAAGTCCTGAGTAATGTTTAGGGGTATAAAGGGGCTCCCCTGCGACCAAGAAGTTTGAAGGTGCTGGTATAAAGGACACCCTTTTGTCCTCACTTCCCACTTAAATTAATACCAGCTGACTTTTGGAGGGTACTTCCTGCTCTGGGCCACCATGCTGAGTGCGCCGGGGCCAGTTTTCCTTTCACCTTCTTGATGCTCCTACAAAGCAGATGCTGTGATTGGCCCCAGCGAGGGAGAGTGAGCTGAGGCTGGGGGTGGTTGGTGGGGGGACATGCCTGAGGTCAGGCACTGGGTTGAAGCCCAGCCCTGCAGTCCCCTGAGGCCCCCTGCCCCCCACCAGCAGAGCCTCTGTCCTCTCGCTTTACCCCTCCAGCTTTCTTCTCTTAGTCATTCTCTGAGTCAGCCATCTTGAAACTATCTACTCATTTTTGAATCATCCTCTCTTTTTCCCTTGAAATGATCTGAATTCCCTGCCCAAGGCAGCAGAGGGGCAGGGGCTCTGCGGCCAGCTTCCTACAGCTGGAGTTGCAGGCAGTGAGTGTGGCCAGCCCCCAAGCTTCTGGGCAGCAGAGCCAGGACTCAAGGGACATGCACGGGATGCAAGCCTGGAAACAGACCTTCCAAAAGGGCAGTGTTAAAAGACACAATATTTGCCAGACGGGGTCTGGAAGGCAAGAGTCCCAGACCTAGGAATAGAAAGGTAAATCCTTTTCCTCTGGATTTCTTTGCCTCAAGCCCATAGGTGGGGAGGAAGTGTAAAATCAGACATCTGCCTCTTACTTATATCCATCTCTTAATTCCTCTTCCCACTCACTGACTTTCTTCATTCAGCAAATACACTGGTGTGATAAGTGGGGTGTGACGGGGTAATAATAACAGCTAACATTTATTGGTGAGAAAGGACACAGGTGCCTGGAAATGGGGCTGGAGAAGAAAATGAGAGCCAGCTCGTGAAGGGTTGAGATTTTACGTGGAAGGTTTAATCAAGGGAGCAACCTGCTCAGCTTTGCTCTTTGCAAAGATCCACTGACTGCAGCGTGGAGAATGGATTGCAGAAGAGCAAAGAGGAGGCAGAAAATGATGGTGTCTGGAATCAGCATAGGACTAGTAGGGATGGATGAAGTCAAGTGATGGAGAGGCCGGAAGCAAAGATGTGAATGGCTTCCGGTATGCCTAGAATTATTGCCATAGCCTCCTAACTCCATTGCTCACCACCAGGCTGTTTTTTTCCTTGCAATTAACCCTGAACATCACCACCAGATTAACCTTCCTTAAATACCCACTTATCACATTGAGGAGTACTAGACAGCCTACTGATTAAGTGCATTTGCTCTGGAGCCAAACAACCTGGGTTCAAATCCTACCACAGCCACTTTCCTGTGCCCACTTTCCTCACTTACAAAATGAGACACTGCAAAGACTTTACATCACAGGGTTGCTGTGAGTCAGTATACACAAGAGCACTTACACCACTATCTGTATATAGTAATCCTTCGATAAAAAATTTATCACCATTATAGCATTTGTGTCCTCAGAAGGCTTCAGTAGAAAACCTTCTATTTTCAGGGCGCCTGGGTGGCTCAGTCGGTTAAGTGTCCGACTCTTGATTTCAGCTCAGGTCATGATCTCGCGGTCATAAGACTGAGCCCCCCCTTTGGGCCCTGTCCTCAGTTGGGAGTCTCCTTGAGATTCTCTCTCTCTCTCTCCCTCTGCCCCTCCACCACCACCACCCCACCCCGGCTTGCACGTGCTTTCTCTCTCTCTCTCTCTCTCTCTCTCTCTCCCCCCCCAAAAAAAAGAAAAGAAAAGAAAACCTATTTCCATTTGCTAAAATTCCGAGGCCTGCCTCTCCAGAGCCTTCATAACCCAGGCTTACCACATTACCCAGCCCCATTAGATTCTATTCCCTAAATATGTCCATAAATACACTGGATACAGCCCCTTTGTGCCTTGGTCCCATTGTTTGCCTCATTTCAGACGCCTTTCTTTTCCCCATCTACCCTCTCCAATCCTTCTGCCCCTTAAATGCTCATTACCACTTCTAGAAAAATGACTCCAAATGCAGTGACTGGTGATCATACCTGTATAGTCATTTTCCCCCAAGCAGGACAGCATGTCATTCCTCCCAGGAGGCTATCACCCCAGATAACTCACAAAGCCACTCACTCTCATACCTGTCACTGCTTTCTAAATGCTAAGTACTCACAGAAGACCCAGAGCATAAACTTGTCTTTCCCATGCTTTGTGGAGCACTATGGATGCCCTCAGAAGCCCATAAATAAGAAATAACTTCAGTATGAGTTAAGTTTTCATCAGGACCATCAGCTATGAAATATTTAAAGGCTCTCTTGGGTTATTAAACCAAACCAATGTTGTGTGTTAAAAAGAGATAGGACCGAAAATATATGAATTAATTGACCAAAAAATATTTTAAGGGAAGCAAAGTCTTACCCTCAGCAGGACTTCATAAAGCACAAGTGTCCTTCTGCACCTCATGCCTTTTTGTTTTTATGCCTTTATTGAGATATGATTGACCAACAAGAGACTGCACGATATTAAAGTGCACAGTTTGATAAATCTCATGTTCTTTTAATCACAAAACTTTGTAACAATCAGCATTTGTATCAGACTACTTAAAACTCTCTTATATTTTTGGGGCACCTGGGTGGCTCAGTTGGTTAAGCAACTGCCTTCGGCTCAGGTCATGATCCTGGAGTCCCGGGATCGAGTCCCGCATCGGGCTCCCTGCTCAGCAGGGAGTCTGCTTCTCCCTCTGACCCTCCCCTCTCTCATGTGCTCTCTCTCTCTCTCATTCTTTCTCTCAAATAAATAAATAAAATCTTTAAAAAAAAAAACTCTCTTATATTTTCAAACACGATCGTGTAATGATAAAACCCAAGTTTGCCTACAGTGAGGCCTTCTGCACCTGGAAGTTACTAGAAATCCCCCTTGGTTGGGAAAATGTGTTCCAGAATTTGAAACTCAGAAACCAAAAGGATTTCTTTTCCCTTGACAAATTAGAGCTTTGCATTTTCAAACCAAGACATTGGAGGCCCTTGATTTGTTCTTGGCTGGAAATAAAAGATTTTCTCTAAATTGGACCCCTCGTTAACTATAGTCTCTCTATAGATTGTACTCAGTTCAGTGGAAGGAGTTTGTTGAGAGACAGAGGAGAACTTCTCTCAGTGTTCTCAGAGACGTTCAGAGGGATTCGGAGTGAGACAGTGCCAAGCAGCAGACCCCGGCAAAGGTTTAGTTTTTACCGATTCGCTTATTCAACCGGCATTTACCGAGCCCCTGCTTTTTGCTGGGCTGGGCAGCCCTGCCCCATCAGTAGCTTACAAACTATTTTGAGACATAAAATACAAGTTGTCGGTCCCTGCAGCAAGCACCTATGAACTGTAGGAAGCCAGCATGAGAAGGAGGCTAGCAGGCGAGGACCCAGTGTACTCCATACACACTCCCCCCGCCCTGCCATGACACCCTGGTTTATATGGTTTGGTTTCTGACTCAATTTCCCAGATTCTTAACTTCTATTTTTTTCCCCTGGAATATTCTTTCTGGAACTGAAATATTTCCCTGAACTCTAGCCTGCTTAGGTAAGCCCCAACTGTCAATGACTTTCTCCAAAAAAAAAACCTGGCTCTTATTTCCTGATCCCTTAGCCACTGGCTAATGTCCAGTTGTGAATGGACTCATCCTCCAAACTGGCCTGACCACTGAGTCACCTTGGGCACTTGTCAAAATCACAGATTCTTAGGCTCCAATCCAAAAGTACTTGTATCAGAAAATTCTGGGGGAAGGGAGCCTTTCCAGATGAGGAAGCTGAGGCTCAGAGAGACTAAATTATAGACCAAAATCCATACATGTGAGTGCAGAACCAGGAATAGACCCCAGATTTGTTCAGTCCCACCTTCTTGATTTTATAATTCAACACAGGAGAGGGTGTGGAGCCTCACCCCATGTCTTCAACCACAGCCTCCTTATTCCATTTCCTGGAGTCATACATTTCCTCAGTCTCTTCGGAATATAATCCCGGGTCACAAACTCCAAAGTCTACAATAGACCCAAGGGCGCAGGGAAGGACTAAAACAGATTGGGGCCGAGTGTGAGCAGCATCGGTGGAAGGTGCGGACTCTGGGAAACCAGAGTTCCTTCCACGTCCAAGGGGGCACCAGCTGTTTCCCTGTGAGGATGTGGGCCCATCTTCACTGCAAAGTCCAGATTTTCAGGTGAAATCTCAAAACGCCACTCCCATGACGACATTACACTGTCTAACGCTTCACCTCACAGTCTCGAGACAGAAAACCTGTGGTTGGCCTTGAAGAAGCAAGTTGCCATGCTGTGAACAGTAGCAGAGCAGAGGGGAGGGCCATATGGCAGGGAGCTACGGGCCGTCTCTAGGAACTGAGGGTCTCGGCCCTATAACCAGAAGGAACTGAATTCTGCCCACGTCCAGCCATGTGAGCTTGGAAGAAGATCCCAAGTTCCAGGAAAGAACACAGCCCAGCCAGCATTTGGCTTGTACCTTTGTGAGACCCTAAGCGGAGGACAGAGCTAAGCCACGTTCTGACTCCTAACCCCCAGAAACTGCAAGATAATAAATGTGTGTTATTTTAAGTGACTAAGGTTGCAGTAATTCTTACACAGCAATGGAAAACCAATACACCCTGCGAGGTCTGCTCTTCTCAGACAGCGCTTCAAACTGCAGAGGCTCCTTCTCCCCATCTGCCATCAGCATTCCCATCCCTAACCACCCTGATCTCAGCTGGCTGCCAAGAGAGAAGTGAATCTGGCAAACTGATTTACCATTTACCACTCACCTCCCCCTGCTAGAGAGCCTTTGCATTTCGAGAGACAGGGCTTGGAGTGGTGCTGGCTAAATCAAATATACAATTGACTCGAAATGATAGAATTTCAGAAAATCACTGCAGAAAAGTAGAAGTAATTTGGTGCCTGGAGATTGTCCCAACGGGCCTAAGGCCATACCATAGTCTTTACCTAGGAATAAGGTCAGCCAAGCCAAAAACATTCTATACTTGGAATAGGAGCCAGGAGCCACATTTACACTTATTAGGAAGACTTACTAGGGAAAGCCTTCATTTTCTTCTCTGTCAAATAGGGGCTGGACCACCCCTGCCTCCCTCAAAAGGTTGTTGTGAGGCTCATGCCCGTTTTTATATGCATGTAATGGAATGGAAAATACATATTGGTCTCTGCCCCCAGTAACTGGCACAGAGCTCCTAAACCCTTGTAATTTCCTGGATGTTAAGAACATCTTTTGTTCTCATGAGGTGAAATCTGGGTGGGCTCCTGGATGTCTCCTGGATGAAGGCTAGTCACAGGAGAGACAAGCCATGATTAGAAACTCAGAATTTTCAGCTCTACATCCCCACCCTCCATTCTCTTGAGGAGGGAGAAGGGCTAGAAATGGAGTTAATCACTGATCCTGTCTCATAAAGTCATCCTAAAATCCCAATAATGTGGGGTTCAGGGAGCTTCCAGGCTGGTGAACGCATCCGCATCCCAGAGGGTGACATAGTCCAACTCCGTGGGAACAGAAGCTCCTGCACTTGGGACCTTCCCCAACCTCGCCCTATGTATCTCTTCACCAGGCTCTTCATCTGTTTCCTTCAACATATCCTTTAATAAACTGGTAAGCGTGTTTCCCTGAGTTCTGTGAAGAGCTCTGGCAAACTAATTGAACCTGAGGAGGGGGTCATAGGAACTTCCACTTTCTAACCAATCGGGCAGAAGTTGTGCATAGCCGGAGGACCTATTATCTGCGTCTGATGTGGGGGCCCTCTCCTGACTGAGCCCTTGACCTGTGGGATCGGACCCTGATTCTAGGTAGGCAACGTCAGAACTGAGTTAAATTGTAGAACACCACTGGTATCAGAGAACTTTTTGCTGGGGTCACACATCCGGTGACCGGAAGTGTCAGAGGCGT